TTTTACTCTCGGGAAAACATCTAAAAATAAAAAAAAACGATTTACTTATTACATACATTAAACTAGCTATTGTAAGAACTGTGCTTAAAATTTGTCTAAACAAAACGCGATATTCAAGCGATTTTCGACCTTATGAACCAAAGGCGATTTTCGAAATTATAATTAAACCATGGTGAATAATTGAAACTGACTTACTTTTACTTAATAATTATAAACCACAACTAAACAGTTTGGTGCATTCTTCCAACACAAATTCTGAGAGAACAATGAACGAAACAAGTTTGCGTTTTAGTCAAGTAAACAGTGTCCGCCGCGGACACGGAATTTCATTTCGTTGACATTCTTTATAAAAAACTAACCTTATTTCCGGTTATCACTATTCTTGTAATTTTGAACCTAGACCAAACCTAGGTCTAGGATTTTGAATGCGAAAGCAAAAATGGACATTAATACAATAGGTAATTATTGTATTTTAAAAAGTACCTAAGTAGGCTATACTACGTGTATAAAATTCGTTCGCGCGACACAGTAGCTAAGCAAATAGACTGCATCGCTAATGAGATTTTTTGCATTATTATCATTTAATTTTTTAAGTCCTTACCTGCTCGACCTTTCGTCATGTCGTTTATTACACAAGCAACTGTGACGCGCCTTGGAGGGAGGCGAGGCCACTCCCCATATATATATATATATATATATATATATATATATATGGGGCGTGGCCTCGCCCTAGATATATTCGCTCTAGATATATTCGGTTTTATTCTAAACAGGCTGTATATTCCCAAGCAACAATTTAAGTATTTGTTACGTATATGGGAATATTGAAGAAACTTTAAAGTGTTTTGCGACAGTCGCCGGTCTCTTTATATTACTCTTTTATTACTAAGTTACGACTAAAGTGGGGAACAATTATTGAGTTCCAAAAAGGTAGCAAATATGTAACTAGCTATAAACCCTGCTACTATTTGGAACGTAGCTGCTACGTTACTAGAACGTTCCAGTATCGTTGCTAGAGCGTTATAATTACTTTTATTTATTTGTTTTTACTTCTATATTAACTGTCTTTGTCAAAATTATATTAGATTATACTATCCCTCCTTTTTTAAATGGAACCACTACGGACTTGGCTTTTCAATGTCGTCGTTTATTAAATATGTACCTACTGGTAGTTTATAACTTCCAGAATAACAATATAATGTTTAATTAGGCAGGTTAATTTATAAACCCTTTAAATTTTACTGTTAAACTTATGAATTTAGTTTTTGTAAAATAAATGCGCTTCATCAATATTTAAGTATAAACAAATTATTTATTTAATAATGTTTATAAATAAAAAAAATTCATATTTATTATTAATTTTTTGATTTCATTATTAATACCGTCTATTGCCAACAAAATTACTATTTATTAAAAAGTAAACAACCATTTACAAACAATTAAAATAATTTATTATTTACATTACCACGTGGTACTGTACAGTAAAAAATGGCCGATAAGAAGCATTTTCCTTTGAAGTAGTTTTCGCTACTTTAAAGTTTTTTCCACTTTACGGTTGTTTTGGTTAGTACCATAAACGTTCCAAATACTAAAATAATAACTTTTAAGTTATTAACTTTGTAGTTTTTAACTCATCTTCCAGTTTCGAGATTTTAACTTGGAAAGGGACTACAAAGTAAAAATAATTATAATGTAATCTTTAGGTAGCAACCGAAAGTAACTGCTACAAATTAAATTTACTTGAAAGTTTTTTTTACTTATAACACCTTTTTTAAAGTTGCAAAGTCTTCTTGGGGGCAACCAAGTTTTACTTAAAAGTTTATTACTTTATATTAACCATTTAAGGAAAAATTAAGTTACTGTTACAAAATATTGCTATTTAAAAGTTAAAATTACTTTTAAGTAAAAATTAAAGTAGCTGTTTAGTATACTTAACTAATTTAAGTTATCACCACTTTGGCAATGGTTTTTGAAACCAAAAATGCTGCTTGGGTTACTTCCTACTTCCTAAGAAGTCCCAGAAGCCAACTGAATGGCTTGAGCGGGTTAGGGGTAGGAACGGACCGCGGGCTTAAAGTTTCCTCCGAAGGACTATTACACAATAGGACAAACATAAATAAACAGCCATACCACTGGTGGGATTCGAACCCACGATATATACATATATTAGGGTGGTTCTTATTTGGCCGATGTCGAAATTTTAATCGTGCCGGCCCCTCATTTGTTTTTAAAAAATATTAAAAAAATGTATGCCAAATTTGTCCTAACTTATTTTCTTCTATTGCCTGTAAGTTACAGGCTGTAACAACGAGAAGTTTTCCAGATAGAGGATTTTTGCTTTTGAGTATGAGTATGAGTATGGGAACGTATGGCAGGCCCCAGACATATTGTCATCCACTAATCTCCCGAGGTTATTTTACCCCCTTTCCGTTCTCCTGCGTATCCCGCCAAATCACAGCATTACCTATGTTTGTTGGATCCGAAGTTTTTACGCCGGCTGGTAGTTCCCCCCTAGGAGGTTGTGTATGACAGTGTCAAAGGTTAAGGCCGCTCCCGGGATTTTTGTCAGCCGGGTCGGGCCATACGTCCAGTTTAGGAAGGGTTTTTGGAGGACATTGAACTGACCCAAAACTAAGTACAATCCGGAATCCTCCGCAACCAAGGCCTTAGTAGTATCCCCATTCAATTGGTATTCGTGAATGGGGGTGGGTATGTTAGTTTTTTGCTTACTCCGGTTACCAACCTTGTATATTCTTTATTTATTTTATTGCTAAATTAGTGTTTAGGTATACCGTTTTCCTTTATTTATATCTTTGCCTTCATACTTTTTTTTTCAAATTAATTAAAAATATAAATATTAATATACAAAATAGATAAAGCCGGCCCTGTGGTGTATCGCATCAAAATTTGAAACACGGCCCCAATGTCAGGCGTGCAATGCATGCCTCAATAGATGGCCTACCACTTCATTTTCACGTGAGCGCTTTGCATATTTACTTTCGCCATCCTCCAAACTTTGCTTGTGTGAGCTTATGTGCATATTATATAATATATATAATACAATAATATAATATTGCGACGCACCCACTTGATTTCCCTTCACACACGCACGCTGCCCTCTGCAATGATCAATTGTTGCCTGGTTTCCTGTTAAATTCGTATCTATATAAATTCATTATAAATATCAATTAGTCAATACCAATACCAAATAATATAAATAATCAATACCAATATCAACCAATCAATCAATTAATCAATATTAATACTAATATCAATATCTATAATGCCAATATCAACATAACATTAATACCAATAATATTACCATCAATACCAATACCAATACCATTATATCAATATCAATCAATCCATTAATTTATTAATTAATTAATTAATCACTTTATGTAAATACCAATAGAGCCGGCCCTGTAGTGTATGCAGTGGAATGCGGCCACATGGCCTGCTTGGCTATTGAGTTCTGTTTGTTAGTTTGGCTTTGATTTATGGCTGTGACCCTAAATTTATTTATGATAAATTTTTGTCTTCTTGCTTGATTAGGTTTATTTACTTACGCCTTTTTCAATGGTTGTCTATGATTTGTCTACCATGAGAAAATGAGGCCGTTTATTTAACAGTTACGGAAACGTTCTTATTATTTTAAAATTTAATTTTTAAGACAAATAGAATTCTTAGATTTTTTTTGCAACATTGTGAAATGCTTGTATAAACATTTAACGACTATACGGTAAGACATGCAATTAGAAGAATTACTTAGCTTGATTGTTAGGCTATAAACCTGATGCTTTGTCTTTCGCGGGGTGGCCTTCTCCTGCAGGTTTTTGGAACGCTCTGATCCAGGTGCGCCGGTTGAATTATCGTTGTGGCCCAGCCTCAATCACTCACTCACTTGCACACTTTTACGGCGTTATCTCGCAATTTTCGCACTTCTTGCACTTGTTTGTTTATTTCTGTATTTATTTATTATTTTCTGATAGTGGATTTTTTTGCTTTTAATGTATTAATTTTTTTAAATTACTATTAATCTATGAAAAAGTATAATTTTTTGAGAAAATGTAGAGGATATAAGTTACTTAAAAAAAACAAAAAAGAATTCATGTATGTCCATAGTGAGATCTTTTTTACTTCATTCAATTATTACTATTATTGTTTTTTTATTGAAAATGGCATAAAAAACAAAATATCAGTGATAATTTGCATTTAATGCATAATTAGTGTGTTTTGAAACGTAATTTTGTACTTTTCTAATGTTGGTGCTTCCTAAATATCTTTAGATATTAAATTTTAGGAAGCACCAACATTAGAAAAGTACAAAATTACAATTGTGTACATTTGCCAACAACAGCATACAAAATACATACATTTATTCAGACAATATTTATAATTATTTAAGGAAGGTTTTAGTTAAATTAAGGTTTGCAAATAAAAACAAATTGAATAAGTTTTCTGTTCTTTGACATTAACACTTAAGTTAGGCAACCCAGTTAACACACAATAAACGTTGAGTTGCATTAAAATTAAAAAGAAATTAAATCATACCTAATACTTTAGTATTAGTTAGATTAACAGTTATCATCTTTATTAATAAATGTGTTGTTTAATCTAATAAACAGTTATAAAAACAAAAAAGTATTTTATTTATTTTCTCTTACAATTGGTAGATTTGGCAACACCGCCTATGTGTTGTATGCAAATCGAGGTTAAATTTGTTGTTTTTTTGTTTTGGGGATGTTTATTCTTCATTTAAATTGGTGTAGCGACAAAGTTTTATGAGAAATTGTTCTAGTGAATTTAAATGGTAATGTGTTGTACTGCTTCAATAATAAAATTTAAGAACATTAAATACATGTATTTATGTAAACTTTAAGGTTAAAATATGGTTTTATATGCATTTTGTTTGTTCTTTTTAAAAATTCTAGCATGTATTACAATCTTTTTAGCTGAAGTTTGGAAATAGATTTGTTAACATTTTAATGTCTTTATAGGAAGACGAGAAGTTAAATTTTATTGAGGACTTTGTCACCAAAGATAGTATTTATGTCATAAAACCTAAGGATGTAGAACTTGAAAACCAATCACTTTTAGACAGTCTACTTACCTTTGAAAAAGAACAAAATATTGTTACATTGGAAAATATTGAAAGAAATATTAATGAAGAATGTAGAAGAGATTGTCAGGTTGAGTAAGTATTTTAGGGTTAAAAAGTGCAAACAAAGAATTAAGAATTATTTGCAAAAAAACTGCTGCTCAATCCTTTTGAGAAAAGTTCCCAATGATGATCAACCTTTTGAGAATTATTAAAAATTATTTTACAAATAATTTTACCAAGCCCAGAAAAAGTTTTTGGCGCTTGGTTCCTTTTCGATAAGCATTATCCAAATGTTGTTTTTTAAGCAAAAATGTTTGCATTCTCACATACTTGTCTAAAAGGATAATAGTCCAAGAGCTATCAGACATTTTAGTAAAGATTTGGCCATAAGGCTGGAAATTTATTTAATTACGAGTTAAAAGTGATGATGATGAAAACTACACCACCAGCCTGCATTTTTTAAGTGTAAAAAGCTAAAAATTACATTTTTGTTGCTGTAGCCCAAAAAACAATTGAGGGGCTCGGTGCAAGAACCGGGTATCTCCATATTTGGTAAATGTTCAGGAGGAAAGAAAAACCTTGTTAAAATTATTTTCACAGTATAATTTTTGCGGTATCTCCTGTATCTGATATATTTAGTTAACACTAACATGGATCTACACAGTTTGTGCACCAAACGATGCAGACTATTGAAGGGTGTATCTTCATATACCTAACTCAATTTAGCAAAAATATGCACCAAGCCCCTCAATTGTGATTTCACGTTTCGCTCACTGCGTGATATTTATGATTCTATTGAGCGCCCAGTGGGTAACTCAAAAAAACCCAGTGGGTTACAACAAAAGCCCGCAGGGTTTTTTTAAATAACTATGTAATTTTTTTAACATTTATTTTTATCCCCTATAATGTCGCCCCCCTTTAACATTTTTATTTTAAGTGTCCCAAAAAATTTAAAAGTGGTTATGTAGGTAGGTACTAAAAAATTCTTTTTTTCTACGTATAAAAAAAAATGGAAAATTGATCAATATACAGCGAAAAACAAATGGATCACCCTATATATGAATTTATTTTTCGATTCCTTGTAAAATTCTGAGCATAATTAATATAATAAACCATATAGGTACCTAAATTCAACCATTATCATTAAATGTTTTTTAAACTGTTATAAATCAAGAAGCCTCAGTATACCAAAATTTGTATTGAAAATAAATTACTATAAATAAGTAAAAATGGCGTACTCAGACAGAGAAAGACAAACTATTTCAACTTATTATCTTAAAAATAATTTAAATATTTCAGAAACCGTTGAATTTAGGTATTTGGTATGTTTTATGATATATGCTTAGAATTTTACAAGGAATCGAAAAATAAATACATATATAGGGTGATCCATTGAAAAAAAATAAACTTTTAGTTTTTCCCTGTATACTGATCAATTTTCCAATTTTCTTTATAAGTAGAAAAAAATTATTCTTTAGTACCCACACTTAAAGGGGGTCGACATTATAGGGGATCACCCTGTACATTTAAAATTTGCATTTTATAGTTTGCGAATGAACGCGAAAATATGTGGGAGTAAAGTTTTCACTACCTTCTTTTTTATACAGAAATCACTGTGACAATACAATTCATTAATATTAGAACCAATAAAATGCCAGTATTCCATAGTGACGTATTTTATCACAGCGGCAATAATTTTTATCATCTTGTTTACACGTTACTAAGAATTTTGACACTTTTTTTGATTTAACATCTGTTGTCATTTAAATTCTGTATTTGATATAGGTATATCAATAAAATAATGAATTATAAACTCTAAAAGATCGATGGGTTGGTGTAAACGATAATGAAATTACGGTAAGTTTGAATAAATAAGGTTTATTACAGTCTTTTTATATTTTAAAGCACATTTTAATTTTAAATGTCAATCTGACAAATTTTTTAATTCCTAAAATTCATTATATTTTCTCACTAAATATAACTCGTGGTATGATTAATAATCGAAGATATTTACTCATTGAAACCGAAGCAGCACATTTCACTCGTGAAATCTGCAGCTCGGTTTCAATTCGAAAATATCATCGATGATAATCATACCACTTGTTATATTATGGGTGACAATACAATTCATTAATATTAGAACCAATAAAATGCCAGTATTCCATAGTGACGTATTTTATCACAGCGGCAATAATTTTTATCATCTTGTTTACACGTTACTAAGAATTTTGACACTTTTTTTGATTTAACATCTATTGTCATTTAAATTCTGTATTTGATATATATCAATAAAATAATGAATTATAAACTCTAAAAGATCGATGGGTTGGTGTAAACGATAATGAAATTAAGGTAAGTTTGAATAAATAAGGTTTATTAAAGTCTTTTTATATTTTAAAGCACATTTTAATTTTAAATGTCAATCTGACAAATTTTTTAATTTCTAAAATTCATTATATTTTCTCACTAAATATAACTCGTGGTATGATTAATAATCGAAGATATTTACTCATTGAAACCGAAGCAGCACATTTCACTCGTCCTGCGCACTCGTGAAATCTGCAGCTCGGTTTCAATTCGAAAATATCATCGATGATAATCATACCACTTGTTATATTATGGGTGAAAATACTTAACTTTTTCTTATTAACAGTATTTCTTTTAAAAGTTTTTTTTTACTAAAATCTGTATGAAATTAAAAAAAAAAACCTATAAAACCCAAAAAGCCCAGCGGGTTGGGTTTTATATATAAAGAAACGCTTTTTTCCAACCCTTGTTTTCGTAGATAAAGTATGGTAAGCAATTTATTTTATAAACTTCTCAAGATCACTCATTTTGGCAAGGTTTGCTCGTGCTGTAACCAGAATTGCCAGACTTCCTGGTGGTGCTATTAGTTAAAAAAAAAATCATAAAAATTAACTAAAGATAACAGTCAGGTAGACTCTTACTTATTGGTAATTCTCTAACATTTACATTTTACATAAAAGATTCCCTTTTTCCCTTTTAACCAAGTACAAAAATTATTATTATTATAATAATATTATATCCTTTTTACAAAATTGTAGTGAATGGATTCTTTAATTCTTTTATTACCATAAGTTATGTTACACAGTTCAACACGATTTTCTTCCCGTCAAAAATTTTAACAGATTTTAAAAATAAACGTTAAAAAAACGTATCCGTTCTCACCGTCATTTAAATTTTTGACACAGCCATTCTTATTACTTTAACCTAAACAGATTTTTAATTTTTTTATTTTGTTATAGGTAAATCTTTTTTTGTTTCAAATATTTTACATAATACAAAAATTATACTTAAAGAAAAAACAATTTTAATTTTTTGTAATTAAGAAAAAAATATTTGTGATTTTTTTTTAATAAAATATATGTTGGAAACAAATCTTAATCTTTTAGTTTGATGATTATACATTGCTTTAGAATCTATAGTGGTAGCACAACCTAAAAAACACCACTTGATATACAGGGTGTTTCATGTTTGTGGCCCATTGTAAGTTTTTGGGGAACAGAAAAAAATATCGATTTGAAATTTAAAAGCGTTTATAATCCATTTAAGTCTATTTTTTTAAAATATTTTGAACAAAATGCCACTTCCGGTTTTACCGAAACTTTGTTATTTCAAATAGAACACCCCATATATTTTTACATTTTTAAATTCCACATAAAATTCTGAGTAAAATTACTATACCATTTCCTATACCTAAAGTAAAGTCAGTTAACCAGTAATTGACCATCAACCAGTTATTGACCAACTTACCGATTAAATGATAAAAGCAAGGTCCCTGTATTACCGAATTAAAAACTTATATTATTTGCATAGTGTTTTACCCCTTAACTTCTAGATGGCACAGTTTTATTAATGATATCTGCTTACAAGGCATTGGTCAACCACTGGAAAATCATGAATTTTCGTGTATTAATTTTTTTTTCGTCGGCATAGAAACTCTTTTTCTTTTTTAGTCAGCTGTTATCAAATCTTAAAACAAAATTAAACTCAATGATATTTTTTATTTTATTTTAAACTAAAAATAGAGGAAAATATAATAATTTATTCACGAAAATTTCCTTAACTGGTCAATTACTGGTTAACTAACCTAGTCGCACTTTAATAAAAAAATAAATGACGTGATTTGAAAAAAACGCCGAGACAAGGGTATCATTTTTTTTTAAGTCTATTTTCAAAATCTATAGCAATTTTTCATGGGAGGGAAAAAATCAAATTTTGTCGTTCTGTGTTAGAGTTAAAATAATTCAAAAATAAAACAAATAATTATTAAATTAATAAATGGTCTATCTTATATTTATTAAAAATTATCTTTAGAAAAATACAATATATATTTTAAAGGTAAAAACCCTTCTTACCCCGTCTGAACTTAAACCAAATCAAACCAATAGATCATTGGTTTGATTTGGTTCTTGTGAGGGATCCATCCAAAGTACCGATATGATATATATAACGATCCTGATTATGAAGAATCGCCATGGAAAAAATCCATACCACAGGTCTAATCGATACTCGATTGTTAAAAATCATTTTGGATAAGAGGCTAAAAATAATATTTTTGATAAACTGAAACTTGATTTATCGATTCAAATCAAAATCTTTTAATACTCATTATAATGTACAGGGTGATCCCCTATAATGTCGCCCCCCTTTAACTTTTTTATTTTAAGTGTCCCAAAAAATTTAAAAGTGTGGTTATTTGGGAACTAAAAAATACTTTTTTTCTACATATAAAGAAAATTGGAAAATTGATCAGTATACAGGGAAAAACAAAAAGTTAATTTTTTTTCAATGGATCACCCTATATGTGAATTTATTTTTCGATTCCTTGTAAAATTCTAAGCATATTTCATATATCATACCATATACCTAAATTCAACCGTTTCTGAAATATTTAAATTATTTTTAAGATAATAAGTTGAAATAGTTTGTCTTTCTCTGTCTGAGTACGCCATTTTTACTTATTTAACAACACTTATTGACATAATGTCACTATAGTAATTTATTTTCAATAAAAATTTTGGTATACTGTTTAAAAAAACATTTAATGATGACATTTCGAATGCGAATATTTCAGAAACGGTTGAATTTAGGTATGTGGTTTGTATATAAATTATGCTCAGAATTTTACAAGGAATCGAAAAATAAATTCAAATATTGAAAAAAAATAAACTTTTTGTTTTTCCCTGTATACTGATCAATTTTCCAATTTTCTTTATACGTAGAAAAAAAGTATTTTTTAGTTCCTACATAACCACACTTTTAAATTTTTTGGGACACTTAAAATAAAAAAGTTAAAGGGGGGCGACATTAAAGGGGATCACCCTGTACATATTGAATAAAAAAATATTATTCAATATTGAATCGCACATTCCTATTCCTAAAGGGATGGTCAATGTACAACTTAAGTTTAAGATGTGATTAAAAATAATTAAAATATGTCAAAAAGGATTTTGGTTAATTAATACTTAATATTAACTATTTTTAAGTGCAAACTGCCCTTAGTTCTTATTTGTTTAAGAAATAAATTAAAAACTAAACAAAAATTGTTTTTAGTTGTAAAACCTCAAGTACACATTCCAAAGTCAGTACAAAAATTAAAGAGGAAGATGACCATTGCCTGGATGATTTTCACGTTAAAACCGAGTAAGTATTTTTTTATACAATAACTAATAAAAACTTGCTTTTTAAAAATATAAAGCTTAAAAGTTAAATTTTCGTAATTTTGATTTTTTCTACTATAATAATTTTTTTCATTTTTAATAATATTAACAATATTTGTTTTTTTCCCTAATGATAACAATTATAACGGCCCTGCCTATCAGCGTCATTGGCCGATTTCATTATTAACTGTGATTTGGACCAACCGGGTAGTTGCAATTCCAATAACATCACAGTCGCCCCTGGAATTCTAAATAACATATGACATCTTTTAAATGATCTAACCTCACTTTTGAAATGAATAGATGAAAAAAACGTATTATTAAGGTTTTATAAAAGCCGTATTACAGCCGGCAATTCTTCTTGCAGCAATTATTCTTGCCATCAAGTTTTCAAGGCCGTATTGCATGTTGTTTTACAGTCTGCAATGGCAAGAAAACTTGCTGTTTATTACCGTGCTACCAACCGAAGAAAAATATACGATTTTGTAATCACTAAGTTTATTTGTTATTTAGTAGAGATATTTAAAAATTAATGAGTGAAATGGATACTAGAACTTTGAACACAATGCCAATCATAAAACAAATAACCTTAAACCGTTTAAGTCAAACAGCGTCTCTCTAGGGAATTTGTAGTAGAGTTGGTAACATAAAAGTTACCAGATTTCACCCCAGAATTGCCGTAAAACGGCAATAAAAATCCATCCGGGCCGATTTTCCGCAATTGCAAGAGATTCGTCGAAATGTATCTACCACGCATGCCTACGGCAATTTTCATTGCAATTGCCGAAATAATTGCCGGCTGTAATACGGTAATAGTAAAAAAAAACATTTTTTCCAAAATGGAGTATTTTTAAGAGAGAAATAAATTAAAAAGTAGTGTGCCACATTGTATTAAGTAAATTCTACAAAAACAACCATTTTTTATAAAATGGAAGATTTTTAAATCAAAATCAGTATATAACTTTTGCGTATTGGTATTTTATCTAGGGTCATGAAAGTGTTATTTAGAACTTTTTGACATATTTAACAAATTTTTGTCATTTCTGGTTTTACCGGAAATGCTCTTAAGTAAGTAAATTAAATTATTAAGGACTCAGTTTTAGTGTGCAAAAATACATCGGAATATTATGGCGCATACCACTTGTCTTTTGATGGGCCTGTGTTATCTATGGTATTTTGTTCTAAACGTTTGTAATGGTCAATCTGACACTTGTTATTAATTATTTATTTTCTAGCATTTAATACTAAATAAATTTTTAGGTGTGATACCACAGATACACATGTATCCATTGATTGGGTAAAATTGATTAATTTTTCTGAAAAATCCGGTAATACACATTCCAAAGTTATTGAAGAAATTAAAGAAGAGGAGCATTGCCTGGATGATTTTTATGTTAAAACCGAGTGAGCATTTTTGTAGTTAAAATACTTTTTTACTGGTAGGTTTGGTAAATTTTCACTTTAGCGACTTTTCCGAAAAACAGCAGGAAAGTTGCCAAAATGCCAAAAATAGGTGTGGAGGGATGTAAAAGTGCATAAACAATCGGCGCAGGGTGAAAAAGTTGTATAATTATCGTGTAATTAATAAAAAAAGGGGCTGATAACCGTGATTTTCTGTCAAAAAGAACATGCAGCGAGCCAAAAACACGTATCTAATAGACGTAGAATTTGAAAGTGGAAGTGAAAAAGCGTGAATTATGAAAAACAACGTCATAAATTGCGGAAAATGCAATTTTTAAAATCAGGTAATTTGAGTTTATGACGATTAGCTGTCATCTTGGTTATGCAGCACGGTCTTATATACAGGTCTTGCAACTTTAAGCTTCGAGGTGGCTTCCTTAACGTGCCAAGCCGCTAGGTGGCGCTAAGATCGAAAGGCAAAGTCAATTAAATGAACCACTTAGTTAAATGTGGAACTACTGCATAACCATAACCTAACTTTTTAAATTCTTTTTTATGTTTTGTTTACATTTTCAAAAATTTAATATTTGTGAGTTTGTTTCGGATAATTTACGTTAACAAAATAGGACAACAAAGTCTATACTCTATGCACAAAGTCCTCGGCCGTCACATGCCCAGACCAAACATGTAAGTAAAACATGTTAATGTATAAAATACATACGTATATCATATATATGTTACGGCCACGGTCTTATAAGACCGTGCACAGAACATAAGTAGGTAGTTCATTTGACCTTTTATCCCATAGACTTTAAGGACTTAGAGCCGGTTTTACAATCGTTAGATTAAGTTAGCTTATTTGACGGATAACTTTCATAGAAACCTTATATCTAAGAAAATTATCCACCAGAGAGCTTATCTAACGACTGTAAAACCCATAGATAAAGAAGGTAAAAACGACCTTTAAACATCTATGGTTTATCCATAACTCGATGCGCCATCTGGTGGGTGTCTCATTAGAGAGGTCACTTTTCCTATTGAAATTGGGCGAAGTTGCAAGACCTGTATATAAGACCGTGTTATGCAGGTACACTAAAATGGGCAAGTGAGCGAAACCAACCCAAACTTAACAACCCAACCCAACCGACCCCGCCCCATTGCCCCCCCCGCCCCATTGAGCAATAGAGGTATAATATATCTAAGGGCAGGCTGGATTGTGAACCTGCATAACCTCAAATTGTCTGATTTTAAAAATTGCATTTTCCGCAATATAATATCATATTATGATGTTGTTTTTCATAATTCAATCTTTTTCACTTCACTTTTAAATTCTACGTATAATATATATAATATTATTATATACGTGTTTTGGCTCGCTACATGCTCTTTTTCACAGAAAATCACTGTAAGTCACTTCAATTATCAGCCCCTTTTTTATTAATTACGTGATAATTATACAACTTTTTTACCTTGCGCCGATTGGTTATGCACTTTTACATCACTCCACACCTATTTGTTGCATTTTGGCAACCCCCATGTCGTTTTTCGGAATAGTCGCCAAAGTGTAAATTTAATGTAGGTTTAGGTATATAAAATATGTATTGAAAAGAAAGGAATTACTTTTTTTTATCAAAATTGTTCAATTAAAAATAAATCGATGAAATCCGTGGTTTAAAAACGTATATTCGTCTTTCCAAAACCATTCAAAAACTCAATCTACCAATTTTAATTAATTTTTAAGTCTTACATTAAAAAAATTGAAAAAAATACGCCACTGATCGACTAGGAACTTTAAGCTAATATGGTTGCCTAATTTAATTTATTATGTTATGGTTAGTAACAACCAGAGCTGGGCACGAGTACTAAAAATATTAAAAAAATGAGTACTTTAAATATTTACTCGTAAGTACTTTATTCGTAAGTACATTTGTAAAGAGAGGTTACGGTTACAATTCGATATTAAAAGTATATCTTTCACCTCTATAGCTAAGGACCACCCTAATTTCAGATCTAAAATCAACGGTAATGATGAATATAACAATTCTCATCGAGGAGATGAAAGTAAAGGTTTCGTGTGCAATATTGAGCATGAAAGAAGGGACAATGTATTTTCTAAAGAAGATTATACAAATTACCTACACAATGAAGACGATAAGGATGAGGCCATGTTGGAGACGAAAATTGAAGTGGAAAATCACGGGGTTGAAACGAACATTTGTGATATGATTCCAAATAAATCAGGGTAAGTTATTTTTAAAGAACAGGCAATAGACAATATATACAGGAATATAGGCACCAAAATCTTTGACTAACACTAATACATTTAATTATGTATGTACAGTAGACTGGGCAAAAAAAATCGACTATTTTTTTTGGAAAGTATATCGAAAATATTGTTTGGAGTGACAAAAAAAATTTATGGTGAAAGTTTGAGTCCATAATATTAATATTAAGAGGTCTATCATCGCAATTTTACATTTTTTTTTCCTGAGCGATTTTTGTCTCAGATATCCCAAATCATTGGGTTTAACAAAATTGATTTAAAAATGTTTTTTGAAGAAAATTAAATGCTCTACAAAGAAGGTTTGATTGGAATATCCCGTCAGATGAACGGTTTTCTTACAATCATGCCTTAAAAATTGGTATAGTTTTACAATTTAATCTTTTAACTTTGGCATTTTGTAATTCAAGTAAAAATCAGTACCCTGAAAAAAACGATAAATATTCTTATGGAAAATCAAATGCTGTACAAAAAAAGTCTTTTATTATTTTTGGCTAAATTGACTCCATCAAAAGTTATTCAAGGTTAAATTTGAAGTCAAAACAAAATTTTAACCTTGAATAACTTGATTGAGTGAATTTAGCCAAAAATGTTAAGAGGCTTTTTTTGTAAAGCATTTGATATCCCATAAGAATATTTATCGGTTTTTTTATGGGTACTGATTTTTATATGAATTACAAAATTCCAATTTAAAAGATCAAAATGTAAACTATACCAATCTTTAAGGCATGATTTTAACTCAGAAAAGGTTCATCTGGCCGAAAATTTCACTTTTGTAGATCATTTCATTTTCTTAAAAAATATTTCTGAGCCTAAAACTTGCTGAGGAAAAAAAATTAAAATTGCGATGATAGACCTCTTAATATTAATATTATGGACTCAAACTTTCACAATAATTTTTTTTGTCACCCCAAACCATATTTTCGATATACTATACTAAAAAAATGTTGTTTTTAAGAAAGTTCGCCCCCTCCGCCCTTAGACCCACAGCACGCTATTGGTATTTATTTGTGGAAATATATAATTCTGTGTTTATTTTAGGACCGAAAAAAAAGTTGGAAATTTTGAAATCAGAAAAATTATAATTGTGACTACACGCAGAAAAAGGAAAAGGTAAGCGATTTTTTAAATTTAAAACTTTCCACAGTACTATTGACTAAACAGCTGTATATTTTTCATTTTAAATGGCGCAAAAATAACAGTTTATTTTCAACGAGTAGTTGTTAAGTTTTAAGGATTTTTAAATTAAAATATTTTAATATTTTGTACCATATATTTAATCATATATGAAGGGGTAAGAAGCAAATCAAAAAAGAGAAGTGGAGTTATTACCTTTTAAAGTTTTTGCTACTTATTTACAAAAATATGGATACTTGTTTTTATTATTGTTGTTCTGCGTTAGTCAACATGCAGAACTCGTACAATTTTCACGTTATAAAAAATTTAAAAAAAAATTACGCAATTCTGCATTTAACTAATTTTCGTGCTAAAATGCACTTGTTCCTTTTCCTTCTTACCCGTTTTAAAAATTAAAAGTTAAAATTTGTTAAAAATAAAAAAGATATTATGATTTAAAGTTTTAATTTTTTGACACAGAATACACCTTGTTTATTTTAATTTTATAATAACGGTTTTTGGATGTGGTATGTTGAAAACTAACCGTTTATACTTAAAATATCCTAACTAACCCGTGGTATGGCGTTAGTTTTTGTGACATCCTGTATAATATGAGGGCAGTAGGGAAAGTTATTGATAATGTAAGAAAATTGTTGGAAATTAAATAAATTAATAGTTGTCATCAATTCGTCAAGTGTGGAGTTTTCTCTTTTGACCAATAGTCGCACACAATATTAAGAAAATTTATTATTTCTCTCACTCTTAGCAGGGCCACAAGATTACATATTCAGACGAATGGCATACAACATATCTTAACTGTTTTAATTGTTAAACGATACATAAACGTACTTACAATAATCATAATTATTATAATAACAATTATTAAAAGTATAAAGTGAGGTTAGATAGCTTCAACTGTTGGCAGTTATCGAGTTTTTTTATTTTTGAACAAATAGTTTTAATGGTTTTTTATAGAGTGCCCTTGATGTAAACCCATTAAGAAAACTATTTTATCTTGGGCCTATATGCTGAATTTCACTTCAAATCCAAAAACATAATTATTACGTTTTAAAGAGTACCTACCCACATAAATAATATTTTAAAGCTCAAAGGTTCTAATTTAGTCAATTTGGCCTGTTCGATTTTTGACCACTTTATTAAAACAAATTCTACCCCCACCACATTCGGATAAAGCCATCTTATCAATAAGTTAATTTACTTAACCAGTGCAGTTCGTGTATCTACTTTATAGATGAAAGAAAATTTAAAACGAAAAATATTAGCGAAAAGTGTTTTAAATTAAAACAAAGTGGTAATTAAAAAAAACGGCACTACCCTATTGAAAATGCCATATAGAACCATATAAAAAACACGTATCTGGATTCTAAATGGTTTCTATCTGGTTCAATATAGGTATTTGAAACAGGCATTTCACTATAGAACCAGATAGAAGATTACATTATAGAACCAGATAAAAACACTCTAAAACACTATAGAACCAGATAGGGAAACCTATCTGGAAATACATCCGTGAAAAAGTATAATGGTGCTAATGTTATTAAATTTTGTTCAAGTGATGAAGTATATTTAAAACAATTTTTAAATAGTTAATTCTCATCTTTTTCACTACTGTGTATTAACGATATAAATTTACCAATATAATAATGAGTTTTAAATGAAATATTTAATAATTTTTTACACAGGAATAATTGTAAATATACATATATTTGAATGGATGTTATATAGAAGTGTGGATGCTGAAATTCTATTGCATTTAAGTTGTCCAAAACTATTTGGATCCATTTGTTTCTAAATAAGTACTAATATTATTTGTTTTAAGTATTTAGAGTGACTGAATGAAGTATATTACATGATTTATTATTTAATAAGGAATTAATTGAATACATATACATATAACAGAAACCAGATAAATCCATATAACTCCATATACATGTCTTTATAAAGACATGTATATTAGGGTGGAGTGAATTTTTTTTTATTTATTAATTGATTTTTCCTATATTATTAATTCTTGACTAAAGGCGTAAAATGAATAAATATCGAAAAAATATTCCAATTTTTTAATATCTTGAGGTGGCGCATCAGTCTCGAAGTTTTGAAAATTCTAAAAAAATATTACTTCAATCAAAGTAACAAAAATAGCATTATTTATAAATAAAAAGTTTATTTTAGTAAAATTAACGTGAAACGTAAACATATTTAATAGTAAATCATATGCTTTAAGTAACTTCAGGAGTGTTTATTGGTAGAAATGAGATCTTCTTTTTCGCGAAAATACTGACATTTGGTATCAAAATTTGGTAATTATTTTCTGACTTTAATTCTTGTTCTGATGAAACCATCTCTTGCTTTCGATCCACAAACCGAGACTGAAGATTCAGTATACTGGTTACAACCAGTTTTACACAGCGTTCCACTGCTTGGGTGTATAGGAAATGGTCACCCGAAGAAATCATATCGGTAATTTCTGTCATCGTATTTCATAGTCATAGGTGGTTCAGTTACCTTTTCTGTCGCCCAGTGAATTAACTCGTAAAAATGAAATGCTTCATTATTTAGTTGTGGAAGCTTTAATTCCCGTAATCTCGAACATTTTGATTCTTTTCTCGCCTTTAATATTTTCGGCAATGCTAGTTCTCTGATCGATAGGTATATTGTAGGTAACATAGCAAGTAATAGGTTTTCGGGATAAATATTTCGCTGAATTTAGATATTAAAGGTACAATTCCCACTTCCTTATAAGGATCTTTGTTAGCTATAGCTAACAAAGATCCAGGAAAGCTAGCACATTCCCTATGGCTGACGTGTGCTAATAGGATTATTTGTTTATATGTGGGGACAGCAAATCCATCGGAAAACCTAAAAGAATTGGCTACTTTTATCATGAAAGTGTATGCCCAACGTGGTTTTACATCAACACCAAGCCTACGTGCAAACATGCTCCTATTCACATATTTAATATGACTTAAAGAGCATTACACCTCCAGAAAAACTTAAAGGCCTTATAACTATGGTTATAAAGAATATTCAGCGAAATATTTATCCCGAAAACCTATAACTTGCTATGTTACCTACTATATATCTATCGATCAGAGAACTAGCATTGCCGAAAATATTAAAGGCGAGAAAAGAATCAAAATGTTCGAGATTACGGGAATTAAAGCTTCCACAACTAAGTAATGAAGCGTTAAATTTTTACGAGTTAATTCACTGGGCGACAGAAAAGGTAACTGAACCACCTATGACTATGAAATACGATAACAGAAATTACCGATATGATTTCTTCGGGTGACCATTTCCTATATTTCCAAAAATTTCCGTGTCACACCCAAGCAGTGGAACGCTGTGTAAAACTGGTTATAACCAGTATACTGAATCTTCAGTCTCGGTTTGTGGATCGGAAGCAAGAGATGGTTTCATCAGAACAAGAATTAAAGTCAGAAAATAATTACCAAATTTTGATACCAAATGTCAGTATTTTCGCGAAAAAGAAGATCTCATTTCTACCAATAAACACTCCTGAAGTTACTTAAAGCATATGATTTACTATTAAATATGTTTACGTTTCAAGTTAATTTTACTAAAATAAACTTTTTATTTATAAATAATGCTATTTTTATTACTTTGATTGAAGTAATATTTTTTTGGAATTTTCAAAACTTCGAGACTGATGCGCCACCTCAAGATATAAAAAAATTGGAATATTTTTTCGATATTTATTCATTTTACGCCTTTAGTCAACAATTAATAATATAGGAAAAATCAATTAATAAATAAAAAAAAATTCACTCCACCCTAATGTATATGGTTGTATATGGATTTATCTGGTTTCTGTTCTATATGTATTTCCAGATAGGTTTCCCTATATGGTTGAATATGAAAATTTTTAAAATGGAAATCCATATTCAACCATATAGAATCCGTAATGTAAACCAGGACTTTCCATATAGGACCTATAAAACCATATAGAACCAGATACGTTTCCTTATCGGATTCAATATGGGTTCTATATGGCATTTTCAATAGGGTATTCGCCCTTCAGTCCACTTTAAATCAATAAGGCCATGAGTTCGAACATATTAAAGCAACTTAATTTTAAAATGAAGAGTAGATAGACGTTTTGGAAAGTAATTGTACTTAAAGTGGTAAATAAAACGCTTTTTTAAGTCTTGTAAGATTTAAAATGTTCTATAAACTTGCAATCAGTTTTAATTTAGATCGCGCCGTGTTTTATATAAAATACAGACTCCGCCATGATGGACATTTTCAATAGCCAAAGAAAAAATCATATTGAAAAATATGCGCCTTACGTTCTCTCAAATAACTGAAGAACTGTGTGTTCAAACATGCAATTTAATAAAGAAAAGTATTTAGATGCAAGATAAAATTTGACCATATTTTTAAAATACTTTTTAAATAATAAAATAACAAGCTTGAGTTATGAATTATATGCATTTTATTATATTTTGTCAGAAAAGTGCCACCTGCTGATAATTTTTTTACTGGAATAGTTTTCATTTGAATATTTTTAATGATCTGCTTTATATATGGCGTACAATTTAAAATATTATAGTTGTCGCGGCGAATGTTTCAAATTGCGTCATCAATGTCGAATGTCAAAAACCGACATACTGTTAACCTAGCGGTTCCTTGGATTATATACGTTATAATACGTAAGAAAACAACAATAATTGTAATGTCTGTGCTTGGTTCAGAATTTGATGACGCAATTTGAAACATTCGCCGCGACAACTGTATTTTTAAATTTTGAACTATTGTGCGAATTTTAAATGTATGTAAGGGCAGTTTTCAATTATCCAATTTTGTTCGAAATGGGTAGTAAACAATTACCCGAAGCATTAACTTTAATGTGCAGTTTTCAATTACCCGGTTTTAAATACATTGAATGAAAGGGCAGTTTTTAGTAAATTGCAATTTTCCATTTTTAAAATTAGTCCATTTTGTATCTCACCAAC